TCCCGGCCCGGGATGCGGGGAGAGCGCCCGGCCGATGGAGCTGGGTGAGGAGCTCCTCCTTCGTGGGTGCCTGCTGCTTTTTCCCCTGCCGTGAGCCCTCTGTTCCAGCTCTGTTTTCTCCTCAGGGTGCTGAGAAGGGACCGGCATGGGAGGAGATCCAGCCCATGTTCTCCCTGCCCTGCGTAGGGCTGAGATAACCCCTCGGATCCTGGGAGAAAGTGGAGAGCTGAGGAGCCCTGGAAGGTCAACGCATCCGTGGTTTGCATTCGCTTTGCACGCAGTGGTTTTAGGGTTCTTTCCTCCCCCTGTTCCCCATTGGGATTGCAGGAAGCGAATGGCTGCAGCCAGGAGAGCTGCCATGCCGCAGCGGTGGTGCAGCTTGCTCGCCTCTCCTCGCGGGCCAGCCGCTGGCACCGGTGGGTGCGGGATGCTCACAGACTAACCTGTCCCATGTCTTTGTGTTTTTCAGGGGCCACAGGTTCTCTGGTTCAGGGCACATGACGATGGAAACAGTTTTATGAAGCTTTAACTTTGCAGAGGTTTTAAACCTAATTCAGCACTATTTTTTTTCCCCGGTTGTGAGCAGAAATGGCTCCTGCTTTGAGTGTGTTTGGGGCTGTAAGACGATTTGTGCCTTTTTTGTGACAACGAGGGGAAAGGCAGAGCAGCCAAGGGCTCCTTGCTCCCATCCCTCAGGGTGCAGAGCAGGGGAGCAGGAGCAGAGCGTGCCCTCAGCCCCCGCAAGGGCACCCCAAATCCCCGAGTCCTGCCCAGGCACAGCCCCTCCGAGCCCCCGCTTCCCGTGGAGCGGAGACACCACCTGGCTGGAGGGACTCTGCCTCCCCCGTGATGCCCGGCAGGAGGCTGCGCAGGGATGACAGGACATCGCAGCGTCTGGCTCGCTGGAGTTTTCAGCTGTGGTGAAGCCAGCGATTATCCGGAGAGCCCCAACGGGCTTTGTCTCGCTGTCAGTTCTGCTCAAGCCTGTGTTTCTGCTGGCTGCAGACGTGCGCTCGAGGCTGGCGTGGTAC